TACAATGCAATGTTTTGTAGGTTGTCATAGATAGAAGTGGCGCAGCTAAAAGTTAGCCATGTAACTTTTTGCTTGCGTAGCTAACAATTTATATTTTTCTCTATAGATGTGATTAATATGTAACTAAAAACTCAAATGTTTTTGCCATAACAATAGTAAGCTTGTAGCAAAAGCTTTGCCTTTATCGCCGTGGAGAATAGTCTGTATAGCTATATTTGCATTTTAGCTACACAAATATAAATTTGTAACTAAAACTCGAAATTTTTTGCTACAAAAATAATATCCATAGCAAATATATTGACATTTTAGCCTGCTGTTTCATTTGTATGTATAAAAGCCACATCATCCTATTGATTCTTTAACAATTTTTCTGTCTCATTATTTCTCAGGAACTAAACTTTCTTCCTCTTACCCCACTTGAGCATCCCTCTACTCTTAAGCTCATTCCAGCACCGTCCTTTCTTGGTAGGTTCCAATGAGACGTTTTCAGGAATCTCAACAGGTGATGATGAGAGTCTACTGTAAAGTAGTAGTTCATGACCGACTTCCTCGGGTTCCATGGCATACTTTTCGTCCAATGAAGGCATCTTCGCCTTGAGCTCTTTTTCAATCTTGCTATTACTCAAGTGTGTGACTATGTATGCCTGAGAGAGTAATAAGATAAGTGTGCTTCGTATCAATACAAACTGGGATAAGTATTAAGTACTTGTCTGCCCAAACCAAGCATTTTGTGGCGTCGTTTTAATTTACCTACAAAACGGTAATATTAATTAATAATTATTTAAATTAATAATAAACATGAATATTCAGTTTGACTATTTGACTGAGTGTAGAGAATAAAAGTGGAATGAAAATTGCATAATAATTATGTTTAATGATACATCATTAAGACTAACAAAATGCCACACTTCTTGCGAACTTTCACAAGTTCAACCCTTGGTGCAAAGTCTCCATCTATACACTATTAGGATTTTTAGTAGTGAAAACATTAAAAATAAAAAAATAATACAACATATCATGTCAAACTAAAAAGAAGAGAACTAATAGGCAAACAACAGATTCTTGACATTAATTTTAAATGCCAAAAAAACTCAATGAGAACTAGAAGATGGCATAAATGCAACCAAGATATCTGCCTTAACGATAACATATATTCAATCCTGTGTAGTCATGGGAATCATTAATGGTTGTTAACGGCCATATCCATGGTCGTTAACAACCAGATATCTCCCAAATTTGGCTATCTAGCTGGAAATGGACAGAATAGATCTCGCCATTTTTGGCCAAATCTACGGCCATATGGTCGTTTTCAACCATTAATATGGTCGAAAATGGTGATATCGGTAACTCCCGGCGACTCCTAGTGACTTCTAGTAGTGGTCGACGGTGGTTGGCCAACTGTCGACAGTGGTGGCTAGGTGGCTGTGGTGGTGGTGGTCTAGAATTTGTTTTAAGTATAAGGGCATTATTGTCCACAAACTTAATTAAATAATGGTTAAATTGTAATGGTAGATTAATGTAAATTGATTTTAAAATAAGGGCATTATTGTCCAAAAATTTTATTAATAAGTGGTAAAATTGTAACAAAAATAAGATTCCCAAGTAATCTTACAATACCTAAGAAAATGGAGGTAATCAGATTTCTTTAATATTACCAATAGTAATTACTATTGGTATTAGAAGATTACCGAAATTCTATATTGCTTGACAACCAAACATGATAATCAAGTAATATAAGATGATATTACCTCAGTAATCCTATATAACCCCCAACCAAACGCACCCTAAAATTATTTCAATTAGCTATAAATAATGATTTTTGTAGCTGTAAATATGTATTTTCTACAGTTTTCCTTTATGTAGCTTATTTTCGTACCTATATGTCTATAACGTTGTAGTGGCTTAAGCGATATATCATATCGCTTAAGCGATAGATCAGATCTGGAATCCTTCATCGAGTTATTTTCTTGATCTACACCTAATCAATTTTGGCAATTGCTACCACTCTGAATGCAAGAAAATCATAAAAAAATATTCACTCCTTTCAACTTGCATTACAACAAAGACAACCTAAAAACCTAATCCATTAAATCAAAATCAAAACTCAAACCCAATCCATTAAATCTTCGTGGATAGAAATCTAAAATACAAAGAGGAGTAACACCAACCTGGACGAAATGTCAAGAGGAGGAGGAGGAGGCGGAACTTCACCTGCTATTATGTCTTCTAGTCCTCTTCAAAATATCTATTTCTTTGTGTAATGAGGAAGAAGAAGATGTACAGGAAGAGCAGTTTGAGGAGGAAGAAGTGGGCTTTGGTTTTGCTAAGAAGAACAGCAAGAGGGAGGGGGGCACATGCTTTATTTTGGGGGTTTCTTTGCAAAAATTTTAGGTTTTTGGGGTAAAATAATTTTAAAATAAATGAGTAAATGCTTCTAGTTTAAACATCATTAGTGATTAATTAAGCTTAATAAAAAATATGGTCATTTAGTAAAGAGTTTCAAACTTCATGGTCTTTTAATTAAATCCAAGCTTAAAATGGCTTTTTAAAGTTTGCCCCTTTCTCAATATGTTCTACAAATTAAAATATTAAAACTATTACTAAATAAAACTAATTTACAAAAAAAAAAAAAAAAGGACAAAAAATAAGTTCCCACCCAAAGTTTGCCGTAACGAAATTTTTTACCTGAAAAGTTTCAAAACAACACTTTCTCATCCATCGTTAAGATCTGTTAGTAAAATCCATTCTAGAGAAGGGTAGGATAGTACATTCAATTTTTTTTATCGAAATAAAAAATATTATAAATTAAAAAATCCGAAAATAAAAAAATATAATATATAAAACCCTGAATGTCTTTTTCATCAAATTTTTTCTTCTTCACGTTTTTTCCTCGCCATTCTTCTCTTCTATCTATTTTCTGTTTCTTGACTTCCTCTCTCGGCCATTTCAACCAATAACACACCGTTTGTGACAAAAATGACGAAGAAACTGAAACAATATGAGAAACACTAGGGCTTTCTGTCTCTCACTGTAAATAACTTTGAAATAGATTTAATTTTAATTTGGGATTTTCAATTAATTAATTAATTTCTTCTTCTTCTTTCTCTTTCTAAAAAAAGTGTGTCTGTGACGAAGATGAAGACACGACACACAGATTTCGCGACGAGAGAGAGAGAGAGAGGGACGCATGAATTAATATAAAAAAGAAAAAAATTAAAATAATAATCATTTTCATTTCATTTCATTGAGTTTAAAACTGCGTGAGTGATGTGTGACAGAGACGAGTTGAATTTGAATTTCGCATGAATTTCACTTTCTTTCTCTTCTCCCTGCGTGTCTCCGTAGCTTACCTTGCAATAATTTTGCCTCTTTCATTTAATTAATTGATTAATATTTAGAGCTAATTAGAAATATGAAGACAACTTGTTTGCTGTTGGGAGAAGAAAGAAGAAAGGTGAAGAAGAAGAGGAAAAGAGAAGGAGAAGAGAAGTGGCGAAGGAGAAAGCAAGAGAAAAAGGTATTGTTTTTCTTATACCGGTACTTTATATCATGTCAATAAGTGAGATTATGGGATTTCATTAATGAATCGTAACCATGTGTGAGAAAGTGTAGTTTTGAAACTTTTCAGATAAGAAATGCCGTTAGGGCAAAATTTGGGTGGGAAACTTGTTCATTCAAAAAAAAAAAATTACTGAACATTTGGAAATAGTGCAGTACGTTATAAACTAATTGGGTTGGGGATAATTTTTCCACTTTTATACAACCTCTTATACAATCTCATGTATCAAAAGAGTCAAGCCAAAATCATGACTAATTTAAAATCAACTGTAGGTCACTTGTTGAAGTACAAAATGGAACGTAAATAACACTTTTGAAACGATATTATGTTTTCTTATTCTAAAAGATTTTAGTATTATATAATATTATGTTTTCTTATTATAAGCTTAATTTTTGTTAATTAGACAATGTTGATTTAATTATAATCAATTTAATATTATGAATAACTATTATCTCCTTGAGTCTTGCTTATAATTCTGACACTGTTATATGTTTAGTGTAGTGTAATACTGCAAAACAATCATACGGATATGAGATTTGTCTCACATTTTCTTTGGCTGGTCCACAAATTGTAAAATTTTGCATAACTTAATAAAATCAAACCTTAGCATAATAAGTTAAAAGAAAGTATATTATTACATCTGATTTATTATTCCACATACTATATACAACAAAATCGAATTTTCATTTATTATTTGACATAATAATAATAAATAAATAAATAAATGGTCAATAAATCAGTAAAATTGATGGAGAATCTAAAAAAATGGTGCTCATCATTTTAAATTACGAATCCCCAACTCAGCGGTCACTTACATGTGAGACTGGCCATCAAGGGACAAGTAGTCAAACAGCACTCAGCAACAACACAACCTGCATGCAAAACTTGAAGGCTGCAATATGTGTACAAACGAGAAACAAAAATTAATTTTCACTATCAAAATTAACAAAAGCAATAAATTGACACAATGCAAAATTACCCTGATATAAGCTACAATTTTCAAAGCTTTTAACGCTCTTACAGTGATTCCGGAGTTTGGCTTTGTTGGCTGACAATGATTAAATAGATAATCTTATATATATTAAAAAGGGGAAATTAAATTTCTAGCCGAATTAGTACACTGAAATTAGTAAACCTAATAGTGGCAACTTCTTGTCTCTTATATCTTCTTTCATATATAGTTAATTTGTCCCACAAGTATCTTTATTTCATAAAGAGATTTCACATTGGTAAATTTGTTTCATAGTTTATCTGAGTGAGATTTACTATAGTTTGCAAGCTAGTTTAGTTCAAAATGTTATATCATGTCATGATCATCTTTGGTTTTGGAATAAAAGTTTGGGAGGCTCATTAAAGAAGTAGAAAAATAAACCATCTAAATCTAACACGTACCATTTTTTCCACCAACTTTGAGGAGGTGGTGGTGGCTGCAGGGGTGGCAATGGTGGGGGAGGAGGGTGGTGGTGGTGATGATGGTGGTGGTGGTCTCGTCGGGTGGCAAGGGTGGGGGGGTGGTGACGGTAGTAGTGGTGGTGGCCATAGTGGTAGAGGAGTGGGGTGGTGGTGTGGTGGTAGTCGTGGCGGCAGGGGCGATGGTGGTGGTGTGATGGTGGCGATAGCGTCGTCGTCGTGGCAGGGGAACGGTGGTGGTGATTGTGGTCTTGATAGTGGTGGGGTGGCAGTGCGGGTGGCGATGGTCGTTGTTTGGTGGGGGGAGCGGTGGTGGTGGTGATGGTGATGGTGGCAGGGGCGGTGGTGGTGTGGTGGTGGAGGTGGTGGTGGCAATGATGGTGGTGGTCGTGGTGCGTGTGGTGGTGTGGCGTGGCGGGGTGCGGCAATGGTGGCGATGGCGGCGGTGGTCGTGTGAGGGGTGGTGGTGGTGGGTGGCTGCAATGACAATCGTGGTGTGGTACTGGTGGTTGTTGTGGTGTGTGATGGCAATGACAATGGTGGTGGATTAGGGTTTTAACGGCTGCAATGGGGGTGATTTAGAGTTTAGTGGTGGTGCATGAACTTGAACAGTAACATCAAATTTTAATGGTGATTCTGACGGGCGAAAAAACAATGGCAGATGGATGGCTTGATCTTGCTAGGTGGCTGCTGAGGGAGCTCAACATGACCTGTTCCTGCAGTAATCGAAAGCAGATTGAACCGCAATCCATTTAAATAACAATTATGGATAGAAAACAAAACCAAACCACACAAAACCTGAAGCAGAACTCCAAGAAAACTTTTGGTAACAACCATTTTTTCCATACGAGAATAAAATAAGGAATTGTTGATAGAAAACAAAACCAAACCAAACCAAAACAAAGCTGAAGCACGCACTCCTACAAACATTCTTGGTAACGACCATTTTTTTATATGATAAAACAGGATTTGTTTTGATAAATGGGAAGGAGGGGATTATGTATGCCCGTATGGGTTTGTTTATAGAAAAGAATAAGCTTTTCCTTCCTACACAAAAAGCATGCAAGAAAAGCTTGCAAATCTAATAGATTACTGTACGATTGTAAAAAAAGAAAAGAAATAAATAATTCTAATAGCTGAGTTCAATCTAATAGTATATCATATTTTCAGTAGATAGAGGGGTGTATGGTTTGCTTCAGTTCATTGATAAAACCCAAACCAACCCATTTAATCAGTAGCCGAACTGACACATTTAATTATTACCGGAATCCAACTAAACCAATTCAAATTATGTTAAAAAAGTAGGGATTAGATTTATTTATGGAATAATAGTTGATAAAAACTTTAAAAAAAATAAAATTAAGATCAAAGTGTTTTAATCCCAACATGTATTGTGAATAATAAAATCGAAGGAACACTAGAATACTTAATAACCAAGCCAAGGAATGAACTCTTCGAAAGCAAAAAGACTAGATTTAACATATTACTATTCTTTACTTGCTCTGAAGGATTGGACCTCAAAAAGCAAAGCAAGGAATATTAATTGACTTGACTTAATGACTTCTTAATTGTTTAGTCCACACTCATAATCAAGATGCCAATACACCCCGATTATCCAAATTTAAAATAATCCCCTAAAGATTAAGATCATTATAATCTTAGAAACAAGAAAATTAAAAACAAAGAATAGTATACCTTGCAATCCAGTAGCAGCACCGGCTCCAAGTTATCCGAAAACAAAGAGTTAAAAAATTTTAAGTTATTGAAAATTACTTACAAAATAACTACAAAAATGCTTACATAACTGAGTATTTTATTGTTATTCATAAGAAAATACATACGCCATTGAATCAAAGACCTTATGATCAAAGAACAGAAGATGAACAAAGAAACAAGGCTTGATTGTGCATAAACTTGATATGAAGTTCTAGGAAGATATGGAGAGGATACAAATTATTGGAGAAATATTAATGTTTACCCGAAGAAAGCAACTTCTAGAGAATTGATGTTAAGTTAGCAAATACTCCAACTTTAACTGTTTATTTCCCTTTGTTTTATTTTCAAAAAGAGTTAATTGATGTCCTAAGATGTCATTGAATAAAATTTTCTTTATTTGAAATAACAACTATCTCTGTGCTTTACCCTTACCAGACTCTCACTCACTGGCGGCAAGAAGTGACGATGGTGCGACGGCCGACGCCTGTGGCTCTCCTTGTCACGTTTCTTCATCACTGGATTCGCAAACCATCGCCACCCCCACCGCATCCGCAAGCTGCCACGCAGATTGGTTTGTGTGGATGCCAACTGTACGGGAGCGATTTGTTGTGGGTTTTTGGGTGACTCATGGTTGCGGAGGTGTGGTTATAGTGGGCGGCGGCGGTTATGGGGATATCTTTGTGCAGTGGACTAGCTTTAGCTTCAAGGAGAGCAATTCTCTTCTTGTTGGTGAAGCAAGACATAGTGAAAATGGTGCGCTGAAGGAAACGCCCTTTATAAAAAATTAAAATAAGTAAAGGAAAGAGAGGGAGGGGGACATGCATGATATATATCATTCTATTTTTGGGGATTTATGAGCCCCTACGTTTTGTTGAATTACAACTAACTCCAACGTTTAGGAAATATGGCAACCAACTCCACGTGCTAGAGAATTTCAAATCAGGGTATTCTCTTAAGAGTAATATTAGCTTACTCACGAATTACTAACCGCCTTACTCACCTTGTTTAAAATTACATATGGTACCCGTACTATGTTTATGGTACCCGTACTATACTTAATTTACACACGTTAGGTGGGTCAATGGACCTTAGATACATGATCACATTTGTGCTTTTGGTGAATCGCTGCACTCTCTCTTTTTATTATAAGTTTCTCTTTCTGTCAGAGCGGGTTCAGCCTGAACTCCTTTTTCACTAAAAATACGAGGTTTCACGGTAGTCATTGTAGACGTAAAAATCTACCTGTACGGAAGGGGGGTCTGTACGTGAGGTTGAGGCCACTACGATCTGCTGTACTTGCACATGTAGAGAAACACACGTGAAGCGAACAGGAAACACCGGGTGGTGTTTGTCATAGGCACTCCGACGCTCAAGTTATCAAGGTTGAAAGGCTATATAGTGAGGGCTAGGAGTGAGAGATTACCGGAAGTCTAGTCGGGGACTGTGACTACGGTGGTGAAGCGAAGCTTCAAGTAAGAGCTTCGGGTGTGAAGGTATAATGTCAAAGTCCTTTGTGAGAGGGCTGGCCTCTGCTTATATAGTGATTGTCTGTCTCCCAACTGGTAGAAGTAGGAGTCCTAGTGACTTGATGCAAACCCTAGAAGAATTAGGGTCGTGGTAAGCCGTCTTACCGTGTCGGATAGGAAGGTGATTCTATTAGGAGATGACTCCGAATAGGAAAGCGATCAGAAATAGGAAGGCGACCTTGAATAGGGGATTGATTAGGAGTCGGGAAAGTGTTCTGAGGGGCTGTGGGCTCTGGATTCGCCCATGGACCTGGGAAATGGACTGGTATTAAGAGGCTCGCGCCCACGTGGTTTGGGCTGGCTATATCTTGTACTGAAAGGGCCTAATCCGGTTGGATCATATCGGGATTGGGTCTAGCTTCTTCTTCAGTGTCGGGCCCATTTCCCTATTTGGGCCAAGGACGATTTTTGGCCCTAACAGTTTGCCCCCCACTCTCTGAGTTAAAAGTTTCTTAAGTCAGAGAGTAGGAAGCGATCAATGGGTGCTCGGTCATCCATCCGGGATGACCGGTTGGGAGATCTATGTCCTGGGGTTGTTCGGTATCCATTGCCGGCCGGGAGTACGTCATCCTTGAAAGGTCGTACCTAATCGTCGTAGGGGGTCGAGGGATCAGAGAAGCATGGTCTGGATCTCACGCGCTCATCCGGTACATTCGACCGACTGGAGAGGAAGGGTCAATGGCAGCCCAGTGTTCGCTCGGTCTTCATGGTCAAGTAAGGTGGAGAGTTCATTGATACTAAGACTATTCATTCGATCGGGATACACGGACGATGGAGTGGATGGGACATGAACTTCTACTGACTACCCTTCGTTCGCTATGGGAGGACGAGCGGATGAAGCTTCTTGGTCTGACGAGGGTTCGAAACTGGCCGTTTTAACCTGGTCGACCGGTGTGCCATGTCTTTCGGGCCGGCGAAGCATGGGGCACTTGGAATGCTTCAGAATTCTAGAGCCGAATCGGTCGGGGAGGTAGGGCGATTGGGACTAATCATACGGATTCCTAGGTGCCGTGGATGTTCGCCATGTGTTCGGCGGGGATCAAATCTTCATTTTCGAGGTGGGAAACTGAAAAGGCGTTTTGACCTGTGGCCAATAGCGGGCTGCCACGTGTCCTCGCCTGACAGTTTTTCCCTTTAAAAGTGAATGGGTGAACTGTTCATCTTCCAGTTCACATTTTTCTCTCGTTTTCTCTTTGAAGCAAATTTTTCTTTCTTTTTTGTTTCTTTGATTCTGTTCCGGTTTCTTTTCAACAACGACGGCCTTTTGTCTGCAGTATATTGTTTTACGGTAAATCCTCTTTCCTTTGGACTGATTTTTCGGTTTGTTTCCATTGTTTGTTGGGTTTTTGGATGATAGGGTGGAATTTTTGGGGATTGAGTAGTTTTGACTGGTTTTGAGGATTTTTAGAAGTGTTGGCATTTTGGTTTTCTAGAATAGGTTCAGATTTTCAGATTTTCTATGTGTTTCCGGCAAGTTGGCTATTATTTTTGGTGTTTTTTATGGGCGTTCTGGGTGGAATACGGAAGACGAAACCAATTTTAGTGCAAGGTCGTTCGGTCAATCCGCCTGATCGAGTAGGGTGTAATTTTAGTGGAGTCGGAGTTAGACCGTCCGCTCCATCCGACCGAGTAGCAAGGAGTACTATGAAGTGAACTGGTCGGTCGTCCAGATAGAGCGGGTGATTGGGGTGATAGGTCGGTGAACAAGGGCGAGTAAACTGTAGAGTTGTCTTGGGGGTCGGTCCCCCGGGGCGAGCGAGTGAATACTCGGGGGATTGATTGGGCGTTACCGGGGGTGAGCCAAGGAAGATTTAGGTCGAGGGCCGAGTCGGTCGATTGGGAGGGTCGACCAAGGTTGGGAAACTCGTTTCTAGGTGATAGACCGGTGCTGTGGGGCGAGTGGCAATTCTGTTTCTGACATTGTGTGGTCGGTATCTCCGGTCGAGTGGCTACTTCATACTTGGCGTTTTTGGCAGTTAGGAGAGAGGCTTGGGTCAATCTGTTGGGTTGGGCGACCGAGGCAACATGTCAGATTCTGACACGGTTAGTTCGAGCGGGGTTGCGGCAGACCCAGGGGATGAGTATGAGCATGCCCTTACTATAGTGATGATGCCTGAAGGGGGTGTCCCCGTGGGCGTACCGACTGGAGTCAGTATAGCCGCTTCGGGAGCGAGTCAGACTGGGCTAAGTGGCTCAGGCAGGCATGGTAGGAGTGGGGAAGACTCCGGAGGGGCCGGCAGTCCATCTTCATCCGGTAGTGGCTCCGAGGAAGAGCCGAGCCAACAGGGCAGTGGGATTCTTACCAGGGATTATCCGCCCATGCTGAAGGATAGTGACGTGTGGCGCATCCGTACATTGTATCATATCCCTGGTTCGGTCAAGATCCGGACCCCGCAGTCGTATGAGCGGGTTGATTGGGAAGCTGAGGGCTGGGTCTGTGTTTATGAGAAATGGTTCCATGACGGGTTGAGGTTGCCTGTGCCTCGCCTCGTCTGGGAGGTGCTGAACCACTTCATGATTGCCCCTTCCCAACTTATGCTGAACGCTTGGAGATTGCTGATGGCCTTGGAGGATCTGTGTGTTCGGCACCAAGTTGTGTTTGGGTTGCACGAGCTGCTGTACTCGTACTTCCTGAAGGAGAACGATAAGGAGAAGGGTCGATATTTGCTGAACTTGAGGCACGACCGGTCTCACCTGGTACCCGACCTGCGGTCCAGTGATAAGAACTGGAAAGACCACTACTTCTTCTTAAGGGGTCAGGCCGTTTTCAGAGAGAGGGGCCCAGACGAGATCTCGATCGGCTGGCGAGCCACTGGTGAGAACTTAGTCGTTTCTTTCGTACTTTTGATTACTAAATCTTGATTGTGTTTTTTGTTTGTAGAGCTTGATTTCAATCGTGCTGGGCAGAGCGGAGATGGCTTGGATGTAGCGACTCAGAGAGTGTTGGCCATCCCATCGGAACAGAGGGATTGGCGGGTAGTGCTAGCGGAGTCCAACTTGAGGACCAGCATTCTTTGGGCTGGAGTAGAGGCGATACAGAAAGGTACTCCCTTCCCCTCGCTAAAGCAGACTTGGGACGTTCTCCTAAGTCGATACTGCAATCAGTTGATTTTTGGTAAGTCCGGGCTGAACCCACTAACCGTTGGAGAGTTTGCACTTGCAGAGTCACTTATGAAGAAGTTGAGTGTCCCAAGTGCGAGCGAGTCCATCACCAGGCGTCGAGAGAAGAGGAAGAGGGAGTCGTTGGCTAGGGCGGATGCGAGGGTTGAGGACGTATTGGCAACGCCGCCCAGTCGGCAGTCGCCGAGCCAGCAGCCTTCAGCGGGAGCCGGGTCGTCCCAGACTGCCGTTATGGATGAGGAGGCCGGGACTATTACTATCACGATTCCAGCTACTACGTTGACTTATTCCAACACGACATCTATGAGTAGGCTGGCCGACTGTTTCTTGTTCCCGGCGGATGAGGCATGCCTGAACCAGATGGGTGCAGTTGCTGCCGCCGATTGGGGTGTATCCCGCGCCGTTCAGGTATGGCAGTATTTGTTCATTTTTCCTGTTTTTGACTTTGTTCTCATTGCTGAGTTTTGTTGTGCAGGTACTCACTAGCAGTCTCCATCTAAGGAAGTCTGTCGTGGCGCAGGAGAAACGGATACAGAATGTATCTAAGGCCAACGCTGGTTTACGGCAGAGGGAGGCAGCATCCCGGAAGGCTAAACAGGAGAGTTAGCAGTGCCTCAGGGATAGTGAGGCCGAGGTCGAGAGGTTACGGCGTGAGTTAGCCGAGAGGGCCGCAAAGGTCGAGTCCCTCAGGGAGCAGTGCATCTCCATTGCTGATGACGCCATCATTAAGGCCCGAGGCGAGCTCATACTGGAGTTCAAGGAAGGGCGGACCTCTCATTGGGATCCGGATGAAGACATTCTGCTCATGCAGGAGTTGTTGGAAGAAGGAACTTGTCATCCGAGGGGACAAGACGAGGAGCAGGCGCCTGACCTTAGTCAGCCGAGTGTTGGGGACGTGAGCGACCGGGCTGTGGGGATGAGCACTAGTGGTGCGGGCATGGCGACTGATTTTGTGATGGAGGATGAGGCTCGTGTTGAGGATGCTTAGCGCTCTCTTTTGTTTTTGTATTTTGGGGCCTACGATGTCCTTTTGTCTAGCGTCTGTGCCCTTTTTTGTATTCTGAACTAAGGCGCTTGATGCCATATATACCACTTTTGACTGTTCTGGTTTCTAGTGTTGTCCCCTTTGATGAATGAACTGTTCTTTTATTTCTCTTCTTGTAGGTGTGTTATGTTTGTGCATGTTACCTCAGCGTGGCCCAATGGCTAAGGCATGTAGGCCTTATGTTGGGCTGGGATGGTTTTGTTTGTCAATGGTGTAAGAATCATTCATTCGGTCTGGCCGACCGAGTGTGTAGTCCCCTGGATGAATGACGTTGCATCTTCAGTTCAGTTTTTGGGTCGGATGGGGCCGGTCCCAAGGTGCCAAGTCTTGGATCGGGCAGGGCCGATCTGAAGGTGTCATCGTGAGTCGAGCGGGGTCGATTCGAGGGTGTGAGTAATTCATTGACCGGGTCAACTTGAAGGTGTCCGTACGTTTTATCAGGCAGGGCCGATTGAAGGTGTCCGCACGTTTTATCGGGCAGGGCCGATTGAAGGTGTTCGTATGTTTTATCAGGCAGGGCCGATTTGAAGGTGTCCGTACGTTTATTGGGCAAGGCCGATTTGAAGGTGTCCGTACGTTTATTGGGCAGGGCCGATTTGAAGGTGTTCGTAAGTTCATCGGGCAGGGCCAATTTGAAAGTGTCCGTACGTTCATCGGGCAGGGCCGATTTGAAGGTGTCCGTACGTTCATCGGGTAGGGCCGATTTGAGGGTGTAAGCAATTCGTCGATCGGGGTCGATTTGAAGATGAGAACTTCTGAATAATACTTCATTAAATATCTGGCCATGAGGCCGATTGTCTAAGAGGAGGTGGATAGGCCCACTCATCCTTTTTTTTTTTTTTAACAATGAAAAGAAAGGAAAAACAAATCCTCAAAAAAGACAGGGTTCACCTAAGAGTAGTAGCGTTTGAGGTGAACGGCATTCCAACTGTTGTTGATGTCTTTGCCCTTGGGGGTTTGGAGTTTGTAGGCGTCTTTCCCTGCTTCTTTGATTATCTTGTGGGGGTCTTCCCAGGTGGGGCCGAGTTTGCCAGAGTTAGTTTCCTTGGTGTTTTGGAAGACCCTACGAAGGACCCAGTCGCCTATCTTGAAAGTGCAGATCCTCACGTTGCGGTTATAATGTCGGGCGGCCTGTTGCTGGTAGACTGCGTTGCGGATGCTCCCCTGTTCCCATAGCTCGTCCACAGTGTCTAGGTTCTGGCAAAGGTTTTGACTGTTTGATTTCTCGTCCGCCCATTAGAGCCTGGTGGACAGAACTGATACTTCAGCTGGAATGACTGCTTCAGAACTGTATGTCAGGGAAAAGGGGGTTTCACCCGTTGATGATCGAGCCATGGTTCGGTATGACCAGAGGACTCCGGGTAGCTCGTCTGCCCATGCGCCCTTAGCTTTCTGCAATCGCTTCTTCAATGTCTGTATGATGGTCTTGTTTGATGACTCGGCCTGGCCGTTAGACTGGGGGTTGCGAGGTGTTGAGAAGCTCAACTTTATTCCCCACATGTCACAGAAATCCCTGAAGCCTGAACTAATGAACTTGGATCCATTATCGGTGACAATCTCCTTCGGTATTCCGAACTGACAAATTACATTCTTTCAGATGAAGGCTTTTACCTCTCGATCTCTGACTTGTGCAAAGGCTTCGGCTTCGATCCACTTGGTGAAGTAGTCTGTCACCACCAACATGAAGACTCGTTGCCCCGATGCAGTAGGTAGCTTTTCCACGATGTCCATTCCCCACTTCATGAATGGTCAAGGTGTGAGAATGGAATGGAGTCGTTCTAGTGGGAGGTGTGAGATATGGGCAAACCTTTGACAACTGTCCCACTTCTTCGCGTAAGCGGTCGAATCGGTGCGTATGGTCGGCCAGTAGTATCCAGCGGTGATCACCCGGTGAGCAAGACTACGGCCCCCTACATGGTTGCCGCATTCGCCTTCATGGAGTTCGGCTATAACATTTTGGGCCTCTTCTGGGCTTATGCATTTGAGATAGGGGCCCGAAAATGACTTTCTGAGGAGTTGGCCCTCATGTAGGGTGAATCTGGCGGCTCTTGCTTTCATTCGGCATGCTTCGTTCTTGCCAGCCGAGAGCTCATCGTCTGCCAGGTATCTTATTATCGGGGTCATCCAGTAATCGGCTTGTTGAACGCCCATGGCTTCTACAGGAGACTTGTTCGGTGGCGATTCCTTCCAGTTGGTCGACCACTGCATGAATAAGAGGGGGATGGACGACTGGGAAGAAGATGGGAGTGCCGAGCCAAGGTTGGCAAAGGCGTCGGCATGGTAGTTCTCAACTCTGGGGATTTGTATGATTGAGAACTCTTCGAATTGGGCCTGCAGCTCTTTGACCATGCTCAAGTAGGATGCCATCTTCGAGTCGCGTGCTTGATACGTGCCTTGTAGTTGGTTGACCACGAGTTGGGAATCGGACTTCACTTCCAGCGTTTTTCCTCCCATTTCTCTGGCCAAGGAAAGTCCGGTTAGGAGGGCCTCATATTTGGCTTCGTTATTCGTGCACTTGAACCCACACCGGACTACTCGCTGGACTATGTCTCCCTCTGGTGCGATCACTACTATCCCAAGTCCGCTCCCATTCACATTACTCGATCCGTCCACTAGGAGAGTCCACTTCGAGGGTGGTGCACCATTCATGCATAGTAGTTCCCTTTCTGCTTGGGTGGTGGTGCTTAGGGTGAAGTCAGCAATGAAGTCCGCTAGCACCTGGGACTTGACAGCGGTGCGTGGTTGGTAGGATACGTCGAACTCGCTGAGCTCTATCGCCCATTGCATGAGTCGGCCTGATAGTTCTGGTTTGTGCAATATTTTCTTAAGTGGGAAAGAGGTGATCACAACTATAGGGTGGCATTGGAAATACGGTCTGAGCTTCCTGGATGCATGGATGAGGGCGAGGGCAAGCTTTTCCAATTGGCTGTATCGAGCTTCTGCGTCGAGGAGCGACTTGCTAATGTAGTAGACCGGTGACTGCTTTGTTTCTTCTTCCCGAACTAGCACCGCTGATATGGCTGTCTCTGAGACTGCTAGGTAAGTGTAGAGCTTCTTCCCGTCCATAGGTTTGGAAAGAAGCGGGGGGGTGGTCAAATACCTCTTCAGCTGTTGTAGGGCTTCTTCGCACGAGGGGGTCCAATCGAACTTGTTGGATTTTTTGCAGGCATGGAAGAACAGGTGGCACTTATCAACTGACCTAGATGTGAAACGGCTCAGGGCGACCACTCGTCCCGCAAGGCGTTGGACGTCTCTGATGCACATCGGGGATGATATGCCGAGGATCGCTCTGATCTGGTCGGGGTTGGCTTCTGAGTGACCATATAGCCTAAGAATTTACCTGATGAGACGCCGAATGAGCATTTGGTTGGGTTCAGCTTCATGTTGTATTTTCGTAGAATGACGAACGTCTGGCTGAGGTGGTCGAGGTGTTGTTCGGCAATCAGGGACTTGACGAGCATGTCGTCGATGTAAACTTCCATAGTCTCTCCTAAGTAGTCGGAGAATATCTTGTTGACCAGTCGTTGGTAGGTGGCCCCAGCGTTCTTGAGTCCGAATGGCATTACTTTGTAGCAGTAGGTCCCTCTTTCTGTGATGAAGGCTATCTTTTCCTGGTCGTCCGGGTGCATCAGGATCTGGTTATATCCAGAGAAGGCGTCCATGAAGCTAAGGAGCTCATGGCCTGCAGTCGCATCTACCATCATGTCGATGTGTGGGAGCGAGAAAGAGTCTGTGGGGTAGGCCTTGTTCAAGTCAGTGAAGTCGATGCAGACTCTCCATTTCCCATTCTTTTTCTTTACTACCATGACGTTCGCCAGCCAGTCGGGGTAGTGGACTTCTCTGATCATGCCATTGCTTAAGAGTGTGTCAATCTCTTCGTTGACGATTCGGTTCCGTTCTGGTGCAAACTTCCTTCTCCTCTGCTTTACTGGTGGGTGACCCGGATTTACCTTTAGCTGATGGACCATTGCTTCCGGACTGATTCCGGTCATGTCGGCGTGGGACCAAGCGAAGCAGTCTTGGTTTTGTCTAAGGAACTCTATCAGTTTCTCTCTTGTCTCAGGCTCGAGGTAGGAACCTATGTGGGTCTTTCTCTCAGGGTCATCCAGGTGTATCTATACTTTATCCAACTCCTCTATTGAGGGCTGATCTGGCTCGGTTGGAGGGGTTAGATGAGACTGTAATTGCTATGAGGAGTTACCCTTGCTCTTGAAGGCGTTCTTGTAGTAGTCTCTGGAAGCTTTGGGGTCGCCCTTGATCTCTCGTACCCCCCACTTGGTTGGAAACCTGATCGTCTGGAGAAAAGTAGATGGGACTGCCCGCATGTCGTGGATCTAGGGCCGCCCCAAGATGGCGTTGTAGGGGGATGGGCAGTCGATCACCAGGAAGACGGTCTATTTATTTACTCCGTCGGCATAGATAGGAAGGATGATCTCCCCAATAGTGTATTTCTACTCCGAGCTGAATCCAACCAGCAGTGTCGGTCGTCTGTTGATATTTGCTTCTTCCAGCCCCATTGCTTTTACTGCTTCGAGGAATAGGATATTTGCTGACGAACCTCTATCTACGAACACCCTTTTCACTAGTATGTTGGCTATTTGCAGGGAGAGGACTAAAGCATCGTGGTGAGGAGCGGCCAGGGTGACCGGTTCGTCATCTTCGAACTGAATTACTTGATGAGAGTATGACCTCGAGACCAGATGGATGGACTGGACTTCATGGTGGTTGTTGGTTCTAGCATACCGCTTGGCCGATGAGTAACTTACCCCGCTGATTTCTGATCCTCCGGAGATGAGTGAGCAGAAACCCTTTGGTGTGGGTTCTCGCGGAGGGGGCGACGGTTCTTTGGAGCCCTTCTGGCTAATGGTGTTCTTCCCCTTGTCAGTGAGTAGATCACGGAGATGTCCCCTCTTCAGAAGTGCGACAACCTCAAGCCGCAAGGCGATACAGTCTGCGGTGTTGTGCCCCTGATCGTTTTGGAACTCGCACCACTTGGTTATGTCTCTCCTTGCCTCGGGATTGAGCTTACCAGGCCACTTGATGGCGGACCCCATTCCTTTCATTATCTCTACGACCTGGGTTGGTTCAACGTTGAGGTTGTACTTTGGTATTTTGTGCTGGCTCGATCCGAAATGCCTGTTATCATTTCTCGCAGGTTGGCGATCATAAGGTTTTCTGGTTCTACCCATATTGCATGCTGGAGGTTGGTAGCGGTTTTCTACCGATCTAGGCTCTGGCTTCCTGTCGCTCCACCTTGGTTCATATCTGGAGTGAGCAGCTCGGTTCATCTCATCTTCCTCCCATCTTATCTGGATAACGGCTTGGGCCAGAGCATCTTCCATTGTGGTGCAGCCCAGCTTTGTGAGTTCTTTGTACATTTCTCCATCCGGGAGGAGGCCTTTTCTGAAAGCGGCCACAGCAGTCTCGAGGTTACATGAGGGAATAGAGATCTTCTCTTTGTTGAATCTGCTAACATACTCTCTTAATGGCTCTCCCCTTCATTGGTATATTCGGTACAAGTCGGCCGACAACTTCTCTAGCTTCTTGCTGCTGGCGAACTGTTCCACAAAGGTGTCGGTAAGCTGAGCAAATGAATCGATGGATCTGTTCGGGAGGTTCGTGTACCCTTGGAGCGCCAGGCTGGACAAACTAGAACCGAAACTTTTGCACATGCAGGCCTCTCTAATCGGTCGGGGTATGGAGACAGTGAACATTCACTGCTTGTACGAGGCTATGTGGTCATCCAAGTCGGTGGTACCGTCATATGGTTTCATGTTGGGGATGATGAATTTCTGGGGCATGTCAGCTAGGGCGATCTCATCCACAAACGGTGAATCGGCGTAACAATTTGGTCTGCTCTTCTTGGTTGGGATTGGCATTCCTGGAATGCGTCTCACTACTGCCTCAACGTCGGCCAGTCTCTTGGCCAGTAATTGTTCCATAAGGGAAGGGAATACTATCGGGTCATCCCGTCTTACCGGGTTTGGTACATTTCGTTGGGTCATCCCTCGGGGGGTAGTCTGATGAATCATTCGTGCGCTCCTTGGTAGCATGGGTCTTCGTTCATCCCTTCTGGTTGGATGACTCCCATTGTCACTTTTCTATTATTCTTCCCTACATGAATGGTCAGGGGAGTCGTCTGGTAATCGTTCGGTCCGTCAAGATGGATGGGCTCGAATGCTGGAGTTGGTTTGGTTTGGCCGTTCAACCTGCGAGGGTGAGCCGAGCCAGATGGTGTTTGTGTTTGGGTTGACTGGAAGTGAAATGGGATGGTGGGGATGGGTTGATCCTGCAGATGCGGGCTCTCTGTTGCTGGATCGTTTTGATCATGAGGCTGGGATGGGTCGACTGGATAGTGTGCTGTTGGCATATCTTTATCTCCGTTAGTCAGAATGGAGTAGTCAAGCGCCATTGCGTTTAACTGGCGCGGCCCTTTAAAGGAATCTGAGGGCCAATGCTCTGGTGTGGAAAGAGGTTGCATGGATGGGATAGTGGTGCGGAACCGATTGGGGGGTGCTTGGTCGGGCAGAAACTCGAGATCATAGAATCGACTTACTTTCTCCTTTAGCGACTGGTTCTCGACCCTGATGGAGGTGTTTTCGGCTTCCAACGCGGCCACCTTGTCCAAGTTTTGTTGCATGAGAGCGATCAAAGCCTCCAGTCTGGCCTCGAGGCCGGAGTTAACGTTGTCGGGGTTGTCAGCCATGGAATGTTCCTCCACGTAGCAAGTTTCATCAAGTCCAATGATTGCTAGAGGCCCCACAGTGGGTGCCAAACTGTAGACGTAAAAATCTACATGTACAGAGGGGGGGTCTGATCCCGTGAGGTTGAGGCCACTAGCAATCTGCTGTACCTGCACACGTAGAGAAACACACGTGAAGCGAACGGGAAACACCGGGTGGTGTTTGCCATAGGCACTCCGACGCTCAAGTTAGCAAGGTTGAAAGGCTAATATAGTGAGGGCTAGGGAGTGAGAGATTACAGGAAGTCTAGTCGGGGACTGTGACTACGGTGGTGAAGCGAAGCTCTCAAGTAAGAGCTTCGGGTGTGAAGGTGTAATGTCAATGTCCTTTTTGAGAAGGCTGGCCTCTGCTTATATAGTGATTGTCTAGTCTCCCAATCCTGGTAGAAGTAGAGTCCTAGTGTACTCTGATGCAAACCCTAGGAAATTAGGGCCGTGGTAAGCCTTTACCTGTGTCGATAGGAAGTGATTCTAATAGGAGATTGACTCCGAATAGAAAGCGATCAGAAATAGGAAGGCGATCTTATAGGGATTGATTAGGAGTAGGGAAGTGTTCTGAGGGGGGCTGTGGCTCTGGTATTCCCCATGGACTGGGAAATGGACTGGTATTAAGAGGCTCGCGCCCGTGGTTTGGGCCGGCTGTATCTTGTACCGAAAGGCCTAATCCGTTGGATCATATCGGGATTGGGTCTAGCTTCTTCTTCAGTGTCGGGCCCATTTCCCTATTTGGGTCAAGGACGATTTTTGACCCTAACAGTCATTAGCTTTAGGAAGCCGCCCCCTAGCAGCTTTTGGACTCGTAGCTAAATGTTCATCTTTCTGCCTTCCGTGCTTTTCTTTTAGTAAGATCGTGAGTAAGCATCGTATTATTTTGTAAAAAATTCATCATCTTTTCAAAAATTAAATTGTGAAGCTTATAGTGTATTGGTCAAACGAAGAATTGGCTCAATTTCTCCATATTTCCGTTTTAAAAGAACGGAATTTCAATTATTCATGGAAAACAATCAATTGATCAGTACCCCTATTAAAAAGGGATACTCTATGAAAGCTAAGCACGTCGATTACTCTCAATGCTATCTAATTTAAAGGTTGAAAAAGATAAGAACTGAATTTTCTGTTTTTGCATCTCACTCATGAGAGCTACCACGCTCAAAGTTGTTATTGTAACTACAAAGGGGTGCCGAACATAGGGCTAGTGACTTTGTAAGTCGTATTGGAAGGTGCAGCTGGATTACTCAAAAAGCTAGAGAAAACGGAAAAATGGTCTCTTCACACATTCGTGCTCCTTCTAAGTAAATCCTACATTTTTAACTAGGTCACCTAACTGAAGGTCAACAAAATCTATCTCACGAATGGACTGACACTTTTTTTAAGGCTCAAAATAGTCTAGGCTGAAGACCTCCCTAACACAGACCCAGTGGAAGCATTTGTATTTAGTATTAAAAAAAAAAAAAAGTTAAAATGCCATGCTTGTTGTAGAGATCACTGAAGGGAATCAACTTACTTGCGTTACTAGCGCCTTGAGGTGATGATATCCTCACCACCAAAACGAAAAACTGGCTGCTGCAACCTTTGGAACGCTTCTCTGCCGAATTGGTTATATGATCTTTAACCTTTAAATTGGGTGAAATTAATGGGTTATTGGGTTATGTTTTCATTTATTATTTATCCTTTTGTGCTTGGTGCCCACATCACGTTCGGGAGGACCCCAGATTTTGGATTCATTACATTTTTTAACCCGTCAAGGTCATGTTTCCAAACCTACCAAAATGATAACAAAATAATAATTATATAATGGTGCAAACTGTTAAAGGGTAGGTATTTGGGCCAAACAATGTCGTTGGTCTTATCAGGCCCAAATAAACATCTTCTGTGTGGCCCAAAGCCATGGTCCTCTCGTAGGCTACCATAGAATTCACATGAGCTAGCCCACTACACCAAACAGGCTGTTCACAAATTGAACCCAATCACTAAGGCATTATTTAGTTAAGCCTCATCACCAATTATCTGGGCCCAGGCCATCAATCCAATACACTCTCAGAACCTAGAGTTTATCTAAATCTTGAAGACATCTACTTCCTATTTTATTACTATCCTGATTCTCCTAAAAGATCCATCATCCTAATTTATCAAAGATCCTGAATCTTACATTGAATAGGATTCTAACCCCTTTAAAGGCAAGAAAATCAAAGATTTCCTATTTACTAAACCCCTCCTATTATGGACTCAGAGTTCTACTAGGATTCGACGATCATATGACATTATATAATAGAGGTCTGCCATCTGCACAAGGATTCAACATCATACCATCTATAGCTCCAAGTTCTTACAGCTAAGAACTTTACACCTTGCGTCATAGTTCTAGTCTTCGGCTACACTTTTTGGTAACATCTGTTCCCTTCCCTCACTAAATAAGCATCATTCACCTTACTGACATGAGCATAGAGTGCATACGGCAAACACCACCTCGATGTTTCTTGTGAGTTTCATGCTTATTTCTTGGTGTGTATAGGTTAATGAATTATCAGTGGCCTCAACCTCACAAGATCCGTGCTATTGATAACTGTAGATTTTTACCGTCTACAATTTGGCACCCATCTTGGGGCCTCTGGCAAACCATCCTTCCTAGGGAGTATACAAACTGAGCCAAGCCAAGCTGAACTGCTCAGCCTCGCAAACTTTTCACTGAGCCCAAGTTCGAGCTTGAGCCCAACAAGTAGGGAAATCGAGATCAAGATCGAGATCGAGATAAGATCGGCAATTAGTTGTGGCTCGAAACAGTTCGTTTGGCTCGTGATTTTTGTCAAGCTCAATTCGAGCTTGAGCCTGGCTCATTAAGTAAGCTCAATATGTTGACTAGTGTGAGCGGTTCCAGGTATCCTGCATTTTTCAGGGGAACCGAAATTGGAACCGCACAGTGCAGATTCCAAAAAAAAAGGAACTGGAATCGAATCCATAGTGCAGTTGTTAAATTCAAGAACCAGACACCAAATGCAGTGTCCAGTTCCTTTCCTGGGTACCCTATAAAAAAATTACCTCCTATTAGTTTTAAAAATGATAAAATACCTTAAAAGTTTACATATACCCCCTAACAAATTTGATTACTCATTCATTTTGTCCAATGTGACTCTAAATCCTTTAATCTCTAGGAACACTTGAATTCAATCTATTCATCACAATTCGCATAAATTCCTCAATCAAACCAAAATACAAACAATAATTAAACAATTATACTAAATCTATAATTTAATATTATAACTAATTAATTTCTAATCATTTAATTAAGTATTGTACAATGTTTATAATTATAAGTAATCATTTGTTTAATAAGTTATAATTAATTAAGTAATCATACTATAAATTTATAATTGTAATGTTATAATTAATTAAATTTCTATCATTTAAGTAAGTATTAACTAATGTATATATTATTGATTTTATAATATAATGAATAATTAATTAGTATATTTTTTTATATTATCATTATTATAGCGATCGTGATCTATAATTGTAATGTTATAATTGATTAAGTAATCATGTTAACTATTAATGTATAATATTTATCAATTTATTTATAATAATTAACTACTAATTTATTAC